TTCTGCATCATCTTGTAAAACTTGTCCTGATCCCTCTCACGTCCATCCCAAAGAGCTATCTCCCAGATTTGTGCTCCACGCTTTGCTTCCTCCGTCAGGTATAAATATCGGCGTGGGCGTGTATTTGGTGACCGGCTGAGGCCAGAGAAAGTCGACGAGAGGTGTGGTCATTGAAACGAGGATGTACTAGGTCATACTTGTAGACTTGATGAAGCTTAGTTTAGAATCGGACTCTTTGGGAGTGAAAGATTGACATGGTGGAGTAATTTGAATTTTTGCCTCGTGGGCCAACTTGTTCGGTATTGCGAAATTTGACTGAACTTGGCTCTGGGAGACTATTTCACTTCCAGGTTCGTAGACGGCACCACTGACAGGTGTTCAGTCTTGCCCTCCTGTCCTATGGTCTGAGCCGACGTCGAGATCATGTCGAACTTTATAGTTAGCTTTGAAGCACTCTTTCACAAAACACAGGTCGAGAACAGAGCCTACGTCAGTGCGGGGCAATATGATACTATATGCAATTGCAGTGAGAGATATGGTCACGTTTACTTTGCGACAAATAGGATGGCGTTAATGGTGCGGCGTCAGTACTGTTTTATTCCCCGAACAATAGTTTCGTGGTCAGCTGTGCTGAAGACTTTTCACTGTAATAATTGTTGTTTGCATACCCACTTTAACTCTAGGATATGCGCACACAAATTCGCGTTTTACATGTAACTTAGAACTTTAATGGAAACAATATTCTTTGAGCTATACTTTCTGCTCTTCTTACTATGAAATCGCAACAGGATAAGTTTTTCTAGATTAGGGATATCAGATTTTGAGGCTCACAGCACGCAAGACCTCAATATGCAAAAAATAGTGTTGAAATCATGTTATTTATGTGACTCAAGTAAAAAATTGGAATAGTTCAATCGCGGTCCTTTCTCTTTATCTTCTGGTATCCTTGATTTGGTTCACCATGACTCTTAGGATATTCTACATTGTTTTCGACTTAAAAAGAAAAAAAAGAGTGATAGTCTGGATGCATCAAGGCAGTGCGCTTTAACGGTGGCTCAGAATATTAAACGATTTATTTCAATGGCATAATCCAGCAGATTAGTGCTTCATGTACACACTATCAGAACGGGGTGGCAGAAAGACTGAACAGGTCACTTATAACAATGTTAAGATGTATTCTTTATCAGGCATAGTGGGACAATTTTCAACACCTGTCAGTGATGTCCTCTACGAACCACTGGCTCTCACTATAGAGTCTGTAGAGCCGAGATTGAGTAATAAAAGTCATCACTTTGATGAGAATCACAAATCGCTTTTGCCGTCTGTATCGTCTTCATCTCTCAACACATTCCCCTATCACTGTGACGCCCCGACATTTTAGTGGCCACGTGGTCGTCGGTTCAATAGTTGGTAAGCCGACACAGGGTCAATCCAGGAATTCCAACGACTAGTTTCACACACACGAGCCTTGTGTGTGACAAATCACGATACAAAAAGTTTGTCATGGATATTGGTTTTCATACGAAACCCTTGGGTTGTAGGCAATGAGGGACAGGAGGTTTCGTGTTGGCAACTCTATTTCAACAGTTGAACTCTTATGTAAATATATACAGATTCATATCCTCCTAGATACTTTTCTCTTTAGTTTAGAATCTTATGATTTGAGTCCACGCCAGCTTTTGACCACTCGCCAATCTACTTTTGACCCTCGAGTTTCCACAATCACCATAATCATAAAGCTAACCACGATCAGATCAGATGGTAGGGTCGGAGATCTACTAATCAGCCACCCTTGATCATGGAGGAAAAACCATCCGATGAGTTTCCGGAGCGTACCCAGCACCCGATACGGAGATGGCGGATTGGATCAAGTCGACCTCGACTGTTACAAAGAAGGGAGATATAGATGAATATGCGCACCTCATGTGGTCCCGGTGTCTAGGCCTCGCCTGGCTGGGGCTGCAGGTTTTTTGAGACTTTTTCCCGCGCACGCTGTTTTGATTATTAGCACTTTTTTTTTTGTGTAGAAGGTTCCGTGGAACAGGTGGCCGAATTCCACGGGTAATTAATGAGCTGAATGGCTATTCATCACGGGCAATATACCAATGATCTTACAAGTAACAAAAGAGGATAGGAGCACTGTACAAGGTGTGGCCTGGGCCAAAGAGGAGCTCAATGTGCTAGATAGTCTAAGACTGAAGTAGTACAATAAACATAACTCTCTCTCTTTTATCCTCAGCCCAGTCCTCAGGTCGTATCGCGGAGCAGGACCTAAGCTGAATCCAAGTAGTCAGACAGTCTCTAGTACCTGATAGGGATAAGAATTGGATTTACATGCCCTTAGAGTCTTCAGATACTAAGAGTTGCTGATAACTTCCTGCAGAGCTCTTGAGTCTACAGTGGTATTTGGTCTATGTTCCTTTGTATTAATCTGATCATTATGAGAAGAGATTGGAGTGGCATTAATGCGAGGGGCCTACTGACTGGTAAGGTGGGGCCTTATGGAGCAACGTTTTCAGCCAGGCTTTCTGCTACACTTTTGATCCAAAGGGTCCCTTGCATTGCCGTCTTGGGCTACACGATCGACCGCCCACTGCTATCATGTGTCGGGCTACAGCAAAGGGCCCTGATTTCCAAAAGGAAAACACATATGGCTCAAGTTGTGAATTGTCGGAGCCATACGCTTTTGATCAGCTGGTCCAGCATTGCCACGTCCAAATAAACAAGGTTTCCTGGGCAACGGATCTGGTCGCGCTAAAAATAACCAGTAAACCAGGTTGATGAGGACCACAATTTTCCAGCGGACCTAGTGCGTTGTCTCGAGCACTCGACCGGCGCAAGCCGAGGCAACCACTTGAATCAAGCTAGCTCCATTTGCATTGCTGATGCAACAATCAAGATATCGTCGAGCTCTAGCTCAAACTACGAGAGAACCAGCATTCTCCGATCCCGTGTCGCAGCTAGATAGCCTCATACGCGATAAAAATCTGATGCATAAACAAGAGAGAACCAACGCTACTAGGCATTCAACATCCACAATCGGGGAAGCGGACGACGGCAATCGCGCATGCTGCACACTATAAATATCCGCACAAAGCCTGTGCTGCCGGCGTGTATGTGTGAGTTATCCATTGGCTGGTTGCGCCGCCCTTCAATGCCTAGACGCCTTGGTCCGTCTGCCTCTCTTGATAGTGCGGTGCGGGAGCAGAGCCAGACTGCTATTCGACATGCCCAGGTTTCGACCTCTGCCCTTGAACGTGAACTAGCGAGCGCTAAGATCACGAACTTGTAGAGTTCCATTGCAATAGCTGGCCGAGAAAATGCCCGTCAGACCTCATCAGTGGGAAAACATGCTTGCACTGGGACAACTAAGATGCTTGGCAGAGAACTTGAACTAGATGTGCAGAGTTCCTCTTACAGATAATTGCTGAGTGGGAAGAGCTCGCCACTCATGCCTGAGTCCGCTTTCTCGCAGGCTATCACACATGTCGTATGCGCCAGCTGCCAGATCTACTATCGCTATCATGGCTGAGCACAACAATACTGAGATGGCACTTCCACTGCCCAATCCTGAAATTTAGTCTGGGTTAATCCTCAGTCTGTATGTTTCGTAAGTCTGGGAACCGCTTAAAACTATTCCACTATAGCATGCCTTGACTGCTTATTTATGCATCCTAAAGGTGCCGCCCTGGTGTGAACAACCACTTCAGGATGCGCGTTGCTGACGGTATCGTGATAAACTATGCAGCTTTCGCCACGATGATAACGCAGGTAGATTTGGTTCGGGGATTGATCTTGATTGTAGCCTATTTACTGGTCACTCTGGTGTTTAGTTGTAATACATTGGCAGTGCTTCTCGCACAGATAGCGTGTTTTGAACTTCAGATGCACACACTCTCTGTATCTTATTCTCAAAATACCACGAGATACGTTCGTTTACAATCAATAGTCAGTTCTCTCCCACGAGTACGCGCCTCCGAAAAGTTTGAGACCCGTTATTTATTCAACTTTGACTTCGTAGTCTATTCTCACAACCACTGAGGTAATTTTGACTTAGCCTTGCCAGATTCGAACCTGCTATCTCCAGCTCAAGTGGAATACATGACAGAGCCATGACTGTGTTTAGATCATCGCTTAAACTCTCACAGATAAAGAAGAGGCACGAACGTCCATTAAAGTTTTAATTTCCTCCCAAGTAACAGAGTTATAACTTCTTAGAGATTGTATCCATCCTTAGGATCATCCTGCCTGCTTCTCATCATTCCCTCACGTCGATCGCGAAGACCTACATACCAGATTTGGGCACCGAGAGTTGTATCCTCCTACGAGTACTTGTATTCTCGTGGACGTACGCTTGGAGGCTAATTAAGGCTAGAGAGTGAGTCGTCGAGAGGTATGGTCATTGGAATGAGGATGTACTAGATTGTTATCGTAAAATGAATGAGGCTTCAGTGGAAATCGATCTCGTCCGCAGGGAGAGATTTATTTGGTGGAGAGTCTAAAATTATTTCTTCGTGGGTCAACTTCGTAACAGCGAAATTCGAATGAGCTCGGTACAGAGTGAATATTTGAAACGCAAACTCGCAGGACAGTACCGAAAATGTTCAGTCATCATCTTCAGGATTTGCTGACTTTGAAAAATTTGAAACATGCGAATTTAGCAGAAGTTTGACCACACTTTTGAAAAAGGTGTAGTTTCTGGATTGTCTCTTTGATAGCCTAGATAAGATAATTAATCTCGCCGCCGCATCAGAGAGGTAAAGTAGTGATGCACGCTAGTTTGAAAGGTTTTATTAGTCCAGTTAACTATATTCGTCATTGTATCAGCGTTGTTCAAACGTAGATCACTCAGCTTGGGCTTGAATTCTCAAACCTATGCTGCGTTGCCTTTTGTGTTGTGTAGATTTGTACTACAGCAGTGAGCTATACATTTTACCCTAATATTGGAATGACGGTTACCGTCAAAGAAAAATTGAATATATACATTAAGCCATTACTCCTTATTCTGGAACAACACCCCCAAATTCTGCCCAGAAATTACACCTTCTTCCTCTCCCGCCTTCCCATGCGCCCGCATCCACGATAGACCAGTTGGCTTTGAGCCCTGGGTCGACGTTTTTAGTTACGTTTATTGTCACACCCGCTGCGACCCAAAAAATGTTGCGGACCTCGACACCGCCGGACATGTTCAGATTCAACATCGGCATGGATCCTCTCTGCCACTTGGGCCAGCTTGTTGGTGTAGCGGCGGAAATATCATCACCACGTTCGACACTGCTATTAGAATTCGTTATGTTATTCGACAGCGATATCGGAAGTGTAGGATCGCCGGTCGTGATGAACCTACCCCAAGACAGTTGTACACCCTTACGGAAGGCCTCGGTTAGTGTCCCAATACCGAACATAGCACGATTGGGTTCGTAATAAGCGTTCAAGTCAGCTCCATGGGCGGCTGGTGGTACACTGAATTGATACTTCCAGGACGACCTATTCCGACTTGTGAGCGCGTCTGCAAGCCAATAACTTGGGCAAACAAATGTACTTTCAGCGTACATGTTGTTTGCGCGCTGTTGCTGGCCAATCGCTACAGAGCTCTGATTCATCGCAGTGGGCCCGGAAGAGCCGAGGGTGCTGAAATATGGCCCAGGTACAGTCTCAGGGATCTCATATATTTTGGAGAGTATGGCACGGGTTTGATTATTCATAAGTGGAAAGAGATTGCTTGTGTATGCTTCAAAATTTTCCTCTGAGTTGATTGTTTGCGGAACGAACGCAGGAGCTTCATCTGAGTTGTGCTGCTATTTATTAGATTTTTTTAGAGTTGTGGGATTTCGCAATTAGCCTTACACCAGATAGTACTCTAAGCCCATTAACCCTGCCAGAGAGTAGTTGTTGAGTTGGTCGCTTCTGAATAAAAGAGCCGTCCACAACAGGCAGAAAAGCCCATTGTCCGTACTTCGAACAAGCACTTACATAGGCGCTGGCATTTTGCAAGGTGTAGGTGTCTTTTGAATTGAGACATTCGGGGACTGATGTATTTCCGCGCTCTTCCGCACATCCGACCTGCTTAATAAATGCGTTGTAGGCAATAGTTGGTTGCTCTCCATCATATGGCCATTGCATGGGCAAGTAGGGGCTTGCAGCGATGACATTACTAAAGTATTTCGTTCCTAGTGTTCCGCCGTAAGCTAGCATTTGTTGCATGACAGCTCCACCGCCAGCGGATTCGCCCGCGATAGTTACACGAGTTGGGTCGCCACCAAACTTAAAAATATGCTGTTGAACCCATTCAAGGGCAAACTGTTGATCGTATAGACCAGCATTCGGAACGCCAAATGTGGAGAATTCTTCGGATGATAAATATCCAAAAGCTCCAAGGCGATATTGGATGGATACAACTATTAGAGATTTATTGTTTGTATTGATTAATTCGGCGAAATCGTAGCGGCCATCTCCAGCACCATAACCTCCACCATCTAGGAATGTTAGATTGACTCGATTATTTTATTGGAAGCTTACGCATCCAGACCATGACAGGAAGACTGCTGGCGTTAACTGGACTCATTACGTTGAGAAATAAGCAATCTTCATTTTCTTGGTCTGTTAAAAAGAAAAACCATCTATCAGGCCTATTTAAACCTTTAGTATAAGGCAAAATTGAATTGACTATTTTATTTCTCACTTGGGGCCATGATTGGCCTGTGGGCATCTTGGAGCATAATCGCGAGCCGTGTGGGTCGTTCTATCTGTCTGCGGTTCCTGTGGTCTCTGCCAGCGAAGAGCGCCGGTCGGGGGCGCCGCGAACCGAATGCTGTTAGCAAATTAGTCTCCCCAAAAACTGACAATAGAGCTGTATCAATTTTATACCCGTTAAATACATTTAGGTCAGTTGTATGGTTGTAGTATCCTCGATAAACAGCGTAGCCGACATCAACTGATGGGGAATCTGTATTGTTGTTTCCGTTGCCTCGCAAAGAATAGAGCGCTTGGGCAGTGCCCAGACATATAATCGCTGAAAGACCGGCATAAGCGATTTTCATTCTATACTCCTTGAGCCAGGTGAAAAATGTCCCGTTCCCCATCGTGCTGTGGACTCCATGATATCTACATTCTCGGGAAAACAAGTCTGTTGTTGGGAAGCCATATATGTAAAGTTTGGCTTGCGACGTGTATCCCCTTTTACTTCTTTGATGGACGATGCAGACTGGGCTGATGGGTGTCACGCGTGAGCCAATGACATGATGGGGAGCTCGCCAACCTTGAGTAAATAGTGGCCGCGGCTTCCCTGGATTTCGAAGATCTGAATTCTATTCATCGCGTTTGTCAAAAATGCAGATTAAGGGACTAGCCCCTTAATGCGGCGGACGGATGAGTCGGTTAATCTTATTGATTGGGTTGTAGTTGATAACTGTTTCACCACAGTCACTGACCAAGTTGTCGCGATTAGTGCAGTCTGATCACACTGAAGCGTCACGAGTAGGCTAGAAACAGCAAGGCCAGGCTGTTGTTTTTCTTCACGAAGCCTTAGAATATGACAGCACCTGGAAAGAAAGCGGGTGTGGCATCCATGGTTTCAACCCATGTCTCTGATCTGCAGATATCTCCACTACACCAACTACTTTCAGAGCTTAGCACAACTCGACTATGCTCGCTTAGATGTGGGGTTCGGACGGGAATAAGCCAAATCCCGGGCGTCTTCCGCGTTTCCCCCTCCTTCGACGTCGGACCTTTACAGTCATAGCAGCCAGCTCTTAACAATGCCCTCAGCTCGGTCTACACCATCCAGATTTAGCTGAAGGCTGGGAGTAGTCAATTTTCGCCACTTGAGACAGCGAGGGGTTGAAACGACTGATGACAAGAAGAAAATCTCGGACCGATTAAGAATATAGTTTATTCTCGTCATCGGGAAAGAGACGATCATCATTGACCTGCATAAAAAACTCAAGTTGTTTTTCAAAGATAGGGGTGTGAGTCACACATGATTCTGCTATTTCCGACTTATTAGCCAGGTAAATGGGCTGGATGAAGCTCAGTAATGAATGCAAACAATGAGCTACATTCCAAAGTCAAACTACGGCTCACATTAGAAAAGCCTGGAAGTGCCCAAGAAGTGAAATAAATTTACGGCTGACAACTTATGAAAATTAATTATATACCCTGCAGGAGGTAACCCGGTTTAACTGTAAAGATTCCTCCGAGCAAGAGAATAAAAAACCGTTGCAAATACGTCACTTTGTGATTTTTCGCCACACCTAGTCTCTGGTCTCACAATGATGATCTTTGTCTTGAGTAGGAAGTTCATCTCACCTAGATTGTCTTACGTCGGCAGCCAATTATTTAAACTACCCGTTCGAAAGTAGATGTGAAGCTAGCAAATTGGGCCGGTTTGTAAGTTGCCGTGTCGTCAGTCAACTTCAAACAATTGCACCTCGATTGCTTGCTTCGAGCATGGAACGACGAGTTCTCAGTCTCTCTGGGTATTTACAGAAGTTAAAAATAATAGGGATATTTATGCTGTACAAAAGATTTTAATCCGTGTTGGGAGGGAGAGTGATTCCCGTGACAAAGACAAACCTGACTTACATGCTGGATGGGTTAATACAACCTACATAGCCTTGGGTTTAGATTATCAGTAGTACATTATGACATTTCAAACATTCCGTAAAAAGTAAATATGATGACTATGAGAGGCTGATGAGAACGTAGTTACCAATCCCACCTGCGGTGCTGTAAACCTAGAGCTATCACCATTGAGTTGGCAAAGCCAAGATTGAGTAATACCTACGCCTTCGTTCCAGTGAGGATTCTAAATTATTCTCGCAGTCTTTATCGTCTTCATAGCTCAGAACATCTCCCCAGCATCAATATCACGAAGCTAACCAAGATCTGATCAGTTGGTAGGGACGAAACCCTATCTATGTTCCAATCACTTTTCTCTATCATGGAGAAGCTATTCGATGAGTTCCCTGAGCATACCTAGCGCCCGATACGGCCATGGTAGACTGGATCAAGTTGGCCTCCAATATTACAAAGAAGAGAGACAAATATAGATATGCACACCTTGCATGTCTAGGGCTGCATATTTTTTGAGACTTTTCCCGTGCACGCAGTTTCTATTGCTACCATTTTAAATCTTCGGAGTATAAGGTTACGTGGAAAGGATGGCTGAATTCTATAAGTAAATGCTGGGCTGAATGGCTATCCAACACGGGCAGTACATTAGAGATTTTTTCGTAACTAAAGAGGATAGGAGCACTGTAAAAAGTGTAGCCTGGGTCAGAGAGCAACCCAATGTGCTAGTTACTCTGAGCATACTTTCGGTATCGATTAGTTACTTCAATTGGTGACTTCTCTGAATTACAAAATGTATTGCCTGGAGATATGACTTCGCAATCGTCATCGGTTGTTATCCCAAGTAATTGCCAGTCGGAAGGGGTCATGTCGAATCTTCTCGGGCCAATACTACACCGTAGCGAAATATCCCAGGCAGACGAACCAAAAATATTTCATCTTACTACAAACTATGGCGATATCAGGATTTGCTGAGCAGACTCACCAGTTTTGAAAACTGTTAGCAATTACTACTTTCTCCCTATTAAATCATAACATAAACAGAGCATGACTCGCAAGCGTAGTTCCAAAACCTCAGGTTCGGAAGGTCATAGCAACTAGACCAGAAACAAATAGGACATGGAAATCAATTGAGCGGGTCAGATCTCAGGTCGTGGACACTGTAGAGGAGGATCAACGGGACAAGTAATGACTGAGGGACATTACTTGGAAAGGTAGACAGAATCGACCCCTTCATGGCTTCTCTAAATCGTCGGTGCTGGGTAGTGGACCTGTGCTTCTGCAGTGCTGGATAGCCAAAACTAAATGGACTTACTGGTACGTGTCTTCACGACTAATGGTCTTGCAGTAGCACGACTTTCAGGAGACGGAACATTCCTCATGGCGGTATCTGCGGTTGAAATCCAGGATATGAGTATGTTCAAGGTCAAAAGAGCCGTCCAATACGTTCATGTAGCACTGATCGTGCGTCATGGCTGGCTTCTTGCATGCACTTAACGGACACAAAAGAAGTTCCAACGAAACTAATCGGGCTACCTTGAGTTGCGTAGACACGGCAATCAACAAAGCCGCCGAAACTCACTTCTCTCACCATTTCCATACCATTTGTGTTTTACGGGCAGATGAAGGAGTCAAAAGGGTCTAGATACGCTCGACCGATAATCCGATTGGCCTCGAATACCCGATTTCTTAACCAGAGAGTGTGGTAAAGGACCACAGGGTGTAAATCTCACACCGTGGGCTTTCATCCGAGTCCATGGAGAAAATTGCTGAAACACTTCTAGCAGGACCTCTTCGCATTTCACGCGATAACTGTACGCGGCATGATGAAAGCATGCTTGTGTGAGAGTTTTTGACAACTTGCCTGGGCAGACACGAGCGAATGAGGTTTGACTATATTTTAGGGGCGAAGATTTTCACAGCGATACTTGCGCATGAGCGCCCACAAGGTCAAGAGAGTTTTCAGACGCGTGCCAAAGACGCTGACTACAATCAAATTGTTAATAAACGTCGCAACAAACTCAACCTGCGCAGGACCAAACTGTTGTAATGCAAACTCACGCTGTACCGTGCTGCGAGGTACGGTCTCATTGCTACTTTCCTCATACTCGCTCATTGTTCTAGAAACAAGGCTATGCCGCACTCCATGGCTAGTGCACTTCACATCGACTTCTTCCCTTTTGATGTTCAGATTGTCGTCCAGAATGGGAGAATATGGAAATTGAGACTATAGTGAGACCGTCGGCTATCTCATGTGGCTGGAGAGTGGCACTGACCTACCGGTAACTCTCCATCACGGTCATGCGACTCTTGAGGTTCGGAATAGCAGGTGTCATAGCAGCTGCATAGTAATTCACGGGGTCCGATGACCGTAATGGCCGAGTGTCTCTTAACCATAGCCTGCCGTCGAATTCGTGCGTCTTCGAGCCTGTGCGGCTAGAATTGTTTTAATGCCATGATTCCCTCAATCGAGTAAACATCACGTCTCATAGCAAGAATTACGCACGGACAAACCTGTGGTTCTCACTTTGTGTACTGGGGGGGGTGTCGCAGAGAAGCTCGACTTGCCGTGGAAAGCCGTAGTCGGGTCTCTAAGTTTCGGAGAAACGAGGGTGAATGAGATTTCATTCATCGCCAAGCAGGCTCACGGGCAAGAAGAATAGAAACCCTATCAACTCCGCGAGTAATGGCACGCTTGATCACGCTCGTCGAGCTAGCTGATATGTTGGTCTCGAGACTTTGACATAACATTAGCATGGATCCTGTCCACCAGGAAGAATGACCCCTGCCATTGTTGCCCTTGTACCGAGAAGGGTCTAACAGCTTCGCCGAGGTGTATCCCCTGCAATCGTCGTGCCTGTAACCCGTTGAAGGCATCATCATCATGGCATATTGCCGAGTGTCCCCTTTGGCTTTTAATTCGTGATGCTAGGTTTCCAGCTCCGTACTGAAACCCTTGATGCTGACATCCTCGCTAGTGTTTACAGGTGACGGTCTTGGCATTCTAGTGTCTTGTAACTGTGCAGTTTGCGAGTTACTCCTCCGTGCCGCATAAGACTTCTACTCCTCGACCTAGACCCTCAGGCCTTATACGTGTATGCTTTACTTCCTCCTCGGGCGAGTTGGGCCCGTTCGACAATCTTCCTGCAGCAGCGGTTAGCGTCCATCGTCAGGTTCGTCTTCATCGCGGAGGATTAGCCGTCCTACCCCGGCATTGTCGCCAATTATAGATGCGCTACTAGTCTGCTGCCGAGGTCACCCGCCATGTAGGCCAGGGCTAGTCGCATGTAGGTCCGTGCCTACTCAAAGACCTGGTGCGTGTGAATAAGTCCTAGCTTCCCGGCCGTGAGATGGCTGCGTCTTAATGGTCAAGTGGTTATTAGGCTTGATGATTCAGATTGTGGTCCGACCGGGATCATTTACATTTTTAGCTCATCGAGTAAAGCTCTCTCGGTCGTGGCGGGAAAAGCAAGTTGTCTCCTGTTGTGGGAGAGAGAGTCCAGTGCACGCT